ATTCAATAACGAAATATCAAATTCATTTTTCAATCACTTTCATCGCTGTGTTCCATGCTGACCAAAATTCAAAAACTTTGAAAATAATATTTCTATTGCAACGACTGTCGAACTAATATGTAATCCGATCCGCGATCATGGTTTAATTTTAGATAGAAAAAAATCTAGCCATTTGACAATACGTTATGTACACTTTATAAGAGTGTACATAAAGAGCTTAGGAATCTATTCGTGAAACGATTAAAAAATCAAATATAAATATTGTCGCCGTTCGAATTGCCATTAAATCGAATGGTGCCTGAGAGTCATCATTGGAGCGCAAAGGATGAACGACCAATTTACCTCTTCAAATCCGCGATCGCGTTGTGAGACATGTTGCACCAGCCCATCTTCGTCAAATCAGCCAGATGAGAACCGTCGAGCTTGCTGATCAAATTGTGGGACAAATCTAGATATTCAGTATCCCTCAAACCTTTGAACTGATTCCTCTTAAGCTCCTTGATCTTGTTGCCGTGCATGTCCAATCTTTTCAGCTTCTTCAAAGGCGCCAACGCTTCGACGGGTAACGAGCTAAGCGTGCCTACAGAGGAAAGGAAAATGGTTGGGTGAAGTAGGATGCGCGATTCTGGAAACGCGTACTTCCTCGAAAGAAAAAGGTAGCGGCAAGTACCGTTACTGATCTCCAACTTTTCGATTTTCGCTGCCGCGGCACTCTCCGCGAAACTGTTCGCCGGTAAAGTAGAAATTCGATGGCCAGTTATGCTCAGGATACTGAGATTTCCCAAAATTTGCAATGCCTCGTGCGGGAACTTCTCCAGGATACTGTTTATCACGTGTAACTCCTGCAACGTCCTGTTCACGCCGAGAAAACTGTGCTCCTCGATCAACCTGAGCGGTGTGTCGACGAACTTGAGCACTCGAACATCGAGGGGATAGAGTGCAGGCCCGTAGAAACGTCCTTCGAACCAACGACCAACGATCCGACATCACCACCACAGGATCGAGGATCGAGTTTGAGAAGCTCTCAATGAAAAGCGACACGCTTACCTATGTTGCACTTGTACAAAACTAGTTCCTCGATCGGCGCGCCCTCGTTGCCTAGATTGGAGAAGGCCAAGCTCAGGCTGGCCAAATTCGTGTTCTCGCAACGTATGTAAAGCCCTCTGTCGCTACCGCGTGCGCAAGCGCATGGATAGATGTATTTCGGTTCGTTGGGACATCTGAATCGTGGACCGGGTGGAACGTAACCGCCCATGATGGCGGGCAGGATCGAGATCCACAATAACGGGAAAGATATCATCTATGGGCAGTGGATCGACGATTAATTTGTTTCGTTACGTTTTCCTAAACGCTTGAAAAAGTTTCATTGGTAAATAATCCTGTTACGATCACTCTAGTTCGCGAGGGAAACGTGGGAAAGTTTTCTTGCGTTAGATCCGTGGCACGATAATAAACGAGCTTATATAGATAAATAGATAGACAGCCATAGGCGAATCGTATGCTTTTCCCTTCGATTCGAAACGTTCAACCGATTCGCCTTTCCTTTTCAACACGCGTAATTTCTCTCTGTCTCTCTCTCTCTCGTCTTCTCTTTCGCGTACCGTCATCAGTGTCATTTCTCGATCGAGGACGATTCGAGGCAGAGACACGCGTATTAGGCGTCCAAATGAGCGGAAATCATAGGAGCCAGGCGCGACTAATTTGTTTGCGGATCGGCGATCGCCGCCGAGAAGAGGATCTGAAAGAGGAACAAAGAGAAGTCGTAAAGAGACGAACGACCTCGTTGCCGCTACCTACCTCCCTGTCTACCTCATACCGTTTTTACGAGGAACTGCGCGTAATTCACTGTTATTCACTGTATATCATTTCTTCCAAGCCAAGACAATTCTGTCCATCCAGTTTATCGATAAGATAAACGAGAATCTTTGATTGAAGTAGATAATAAAGTAGTTAATTAAGATTTTTTTTTACCAAATTGTTCGCAAAGGGAACTCTACCTCGGTAGTTTGATCGTAAGCTGGAAAGCTGCCAACGGGATGATAGACTCTATCTATCGGCGGGGGAAAGAAATAGGTAATCGCATTCTCTTGCGGAAAGTGAAATGGCGGCTCGCGATTAACTACTTTCCTTCGATTCGAACACGTGTTCGCACGCGAATATCGAATATCGAATAAATTAGTTCCGTGATTTTCTTACCGAAATTACGAACCGTGGTATGGAGAAAACGATCGATCGATCCGCGAAATTTTTTTTTTACAGAAAAAAATGGAACTAGGGAACAGAAAAAAGAAAATTAGGCATTCGATTGTTGTGATCGTGGGCGGAGTAAAACGTAGGCCGAGGATGCATAATGATTCTAAAATGATTCTGTAGTTATATTTTTATTTGGATCGATGCGTTAACGATGGCCTCAACCATCGTTTTAAACGGGGTCGATGAATTATTAATTAAAATTCATAAAAATTTTATAATCCTCGGTTAGAAAGGATTGAACGGCTCGCGAAACTCACTGACCTGAGAAACGAATAACCATTTTTTATTACGGTTCCAGTAATCTAGTAATTCAACGAGCGAGAAGGTAAAAAAGAAAAGCAGGCTGATCTAGTTTCGCCGCAACCGGTGTTTACGCAACGTTTTGAACATAATACTTCCATGACAGTTGAACGTAAATACAAAATACGGAAACACGAGTCTTCGAAACCCTCTTTTCTGATGCAAAAACGTTGGCAAACGCCTGGATATGCAATAGGAAGCGCGAAATTTTATCGAACGATACGACAGACACGGGGGAGGTGATCGAAAACGGTCGATCCTTTCACTTATTCTGAATCGACCTTAACGATCACAAGCAATGAACCGAATCGCTTGGATTTCATGTTCCCTAGTAAAAAAAAAAAAAAAAATGTCTTGTACCGGTTCTCTAACTCGCGTAATCTTACGTTTGACACTTGATATTTCTTGATATTCACGGTGAAATTGAAGAGAACACGTAAAACATGTTACACGAGACGCTTAAACACTTTGACTGGTTAAACAATCAAAAAAGAAATCTACGAGCTCGTGAGAAAAATTATTTCGATTCCCTGATCTCGAAAGAAATAACTGATGCGCGAAGAAAATACAATAAACTACGCTCCACTTTCTGAAACGAATTAATGCTATTATGACGACGCGACTGAAGAGAAAATTTCTAGAATAATAATCAATTGTTTCTACTCAATTTTCTTTCCGCTCGAATAAATTTTTCTTTTTTTCAAACAGAACAAAGTGACTTTTTGTTTCCTCTCTCCTTTTAAAAACCGAACCGAATTGATATTTTTCTTCGACCAGCCGACCTTGTACAGATTTCTGATCTCCTGACTTCGTGCCAGCATCGAATGCAATCAGATGCAATTTTTTTTTTCCGAAATTCGATACGATTTCAACCGGTTCGATGAGATCTCATTGATCTTAATGATGTATGAAAGGCGAGAAACTTGTCTACATTAAAGGATAATAAAAGAGAAATCGAAGAAATTAAAAAAAAAAAAGCAAGAATTATATCTAAATTGCACCAACCCATATATCTATCTACATATTGAAATCATCGCTTATCGAAACGAGCGGATGACACGCAAACGCACGTGGAACAGCGCATCGAAACACCAGCTTGTTTTTATTAATAGAGAGATATTAAAACAGAATGTAAATTTCGAATTTCTAATCCAAAACCGTATAATATCTTTATCGAGTGAATACCTTGAAATACCAGATGAAATACCTTGCTTGCACTTCGTCCAAAAAGGTTCCGAAAGCACGGTGACAGTCGTTGCTTTTAGGACGAACTCTGTCTTCGAAATCACATATTCGTCGTTCGACCAATTTTTAATTGGTTGTTTGTTTGTTTATACGCGTTCAAGATCAATAAGAAAAAAGAAGAAGAAATTTACGTAAACGTTTCACCACATTTCTGTCTTGGAAACATTCTGCGAATGATTCTAGGATGAGGCTACCGTGAAAACTGAGTCGTGGCTCGAAACTAAAGAGAAAGGCGGCTCGAGAAGAGAGGGTTCTCCCATTGGCAGTTGATACACGCTGTCCTTTCGTGGACACGCGGGTTCTTTGGCTTTGAAACATTTCTACGAGACGAGGACGTTAAGGTTGCGCTCGATTGGCTCATCGAGTTCCCAGGACCGTACTAAAGCTTATTTATTCACGTTCCATAACAATCGTTTCGTATTGTTCTTTTCCCGTGTCCAAATTTATCGTTAAAAATCGAGAAAAAAGTTGTCGTTAACTTGTAATTGCAATTTCCAGTTTGAAAGTAATTTTTTTCAATCATTTATTTTTTTTAGTAAATTTTTTTCACGTGGAAAAGTGTTCAACGAAGGCGCATTTCTATTTGGTTTAGAAGAAAGCCGAGAAGACTGTCTGCGATTGGTGGATATTTGTGAAAGTTAGATCACGATTTGCTGACTTGTTTTACGAGCTACAGTGACATCTATTGGTACGTAAAAATAATCTTGTAAACGTTTTCAATCGATGTTATAGTTTAAAAAATTCGTGTTAATCAATTTTAATTAATCTGGTTTCTCTTCTTCAATGATAATAAGAATATTTTACACAAAGTCGATGATATTGTGAATATAATCGTAATTTAAATTTATTAAATATGCATAAATCGATAAATTATAAAACTACGAAGTGTTATAAGAGAAGACTCGTTCGTAATGACAGTTACTGCTTCTAATCTATCGTATGTGTGCAATCAACGTGGTGCGGCGCTGTAATATATTCGAGTTTATTTACTGTTTCGATCGAAATTTAAACGTGATGGAAATCTAAAAAATTGAACTAATGAAATGATTAATCGTTAATAATATCGTTGTAAGTGAATTGTTCTTAATCACGTGAAATCATTTAAAATTATAATTTTATCGAGTGAAAATGAAGAAAATTAATACGATATATTGTCAATGACGTTAGAGAAACATAAAGTGGATTCTAATTAAATGCTTATAATTTGCTTAATTATAATTGTATTAATTCGTGATTTAAAATTTCATTTCTTTGATATACGAATAAACTCGATCGGTTTTAATTTCGATCATAGTGTCGCGATCGCATTCTAATCGATAATGTTGGAAACGATACAAGGATGGTAACATCGACATCGTCGAATTCTCAGTGTAACGCAAAGCAGGTTGAATGTTAAATTTGTACGTCATTTTCACGAATAAATTCGTTCGTATGTTTCGCAAAAATTTTTCGCAATCTTCCTCTTTTTATGGTTAAGGAGTATCGTCCTTTAATCGAATTAACTACCAGCTTCGCTAAACGTAAAATAATAACCGGATATCCCGGTTAGCAATCGTTTAGACCATAACGAGAAATGGCGTTATGCTTTTCGAGAAATTACGCGGTCATTAAGGTCGATAAGTTCTCCGAGTGGCATGGTTCGAAAACCGGTAGTGCAAGTAAAGACAGCTACCACATCAGCCGAGTATCAGTGTGCAAAGATTGTGATTCGAAAAACAAAAATTGCGAGTCGATTGAACGAACATCTTACGCTCGTTTTCTTTTTTTTTTTTTTTGTAAAATGGATCATTCGATGATATTCTTGTTGAAGTTTCTGCTCTGGGCTCGTGAGTAAAGAAAATTATTCAGAATTTCTTTCACGATGGAATCTTAGATTAGATCGTTTTACAGGTTTGCTCCTCGCAGTCGTTTCTTTACCAACCTTGGGTTACGTCGTAAGATGTTTCGTTTACGTTTAAAAGTTACATTTTTTGGAAGTTCGAAAAGAGTATCTTTTTTTTTTATTTTTCAGGATCGACATCGTTTAGAGACTTACGAAGATTTTTCCGAGGAACGACTTGGCGACTTGGATTTTTTTAACAACCTGATCTTTCGATTCTCTTGCGAGGGAAAACCGATTGGCCTGTACGCGGATCTAGAATACGATTGCCGAATTTTCCACGCTTGCGATGATTCGGGAAAAGGTTTCCCCGTCGTCTGTCCGAAGGATACGTTTTTCGATCAACGGGAACGTGTGTGCAGCGACGAAGGACACGTCGATTGTGAACACGCGAACGAATGGTAGATGCGATATCTCGCATGAATATTTTATTTTGTACTCTCTTCTTGTATTTTCTTCTTATCAACGAATATTTTCAGGTTTTACTTAAACGAGTTGCCATTCTCGGTGGAAGCGACGGATGAGAATCACGCGCGAACAGAAGAAAAAGAAGAAGTTCCTTCGGTGTTGCCTCTTCTGCTACAGTGACGAAATCAGAGATTAAAACGTTTCGCGTTTAATTTTACGTGAAAGTGTGAAATAAAAAACGTTTCAGTGGATCAGTTCAACTCGTATACTGTATAATTGATCTTCAAACGGTTCGACGGACCATCATCGTGATTCTATCGTATCCAAATGCGGTATTCGCATTAATTTTAGAAATAGAGAAGCAAAATGAGAAAATCGATAGCGCTTTATTATCATTTAAAAAATTAGTGTTGAATAGAAACGTTCTTCAAGACTTTAAAATTAACTGATTCCTGATCGCGATAAAGCGCAGAATCCAATAACATTCTTCTCTCCCGTTGCTCGTTTTATCGTTTAACGACGAAGAAGAAAGGAGAAGCATCCGAGACGAGAATAATTACATTGCGCGCGCGTCGTAATCCAGCGATTCTTATCTTAAGAAAAAACTAGCGGTGGCGAGAACAATCGATAAAAAGGCGAGAGACAATGGGAGCGGGCGGAGAGGTGGTGGTCGAGCAAAGGAAATCAGTGGATGAGTGGATTCTGAAGCGTTTTATTTTTCGTAAACGTAGAAACATAGAGAGAAAGAGAGAGAGAGAGATAGAGCAAAACAATCGCTTACAGCCTTACAAACTAAAGATTTTTATTCGATATAACATTATATATTCCTGCGTTGTCTTTGATCATCATCGAGCGTACCGATTACACCGAGATCGATAAGAGAGAGTTGCCCAACGAAGTTATTTATTGTTATTAAACCCTTCACCATTATAAACCCCTCCACGAACGAACAAGAGCCGTCGCTTCTAATAACAAATTTTATCCGCGTGTTAACAAATTCGTGGAAACTACTATTTAGTTCGTCCCTAGCTAAGATCGAG